AATTGCGGTGCCAAGCAAATGAATGAGAACAGAAACGAAAAATAGTCCGGGACTACGCAGTGAAGCGAATTAATGAATTCCATGGCCATGGCTAGTACGGGGCTAAGGAATTGCAGTGAGAAAAGCCAAAAAAAAATAGTCCGGGGTTAAGGATAGTACGGGGCTAAGCAAAGTACGGGGTTAAGCAAAACCAGTGTGAAAAGAGTATTACAAGCATTCACATGCTTTCTTTAAATAGCAGTCAGGTAAACACCAACCAATCACCTACTGTAAATGTAATGTATAAGTATGTACATATAGGCCTACACAATGTTTACACTTAATAATTCCCCCAAAGTCTGCTGTACATCTACATGTACTGTATAGTGTATGTTGTAGCCTACATTTGCTTTAGAACATTTAGTTGTTGTTATGTAATATGTAGGCTACTACAGGTCTGATCTACATGTACAAACTTGAAAATTAATCAAATCTAAATCCGAGTGCTCAGGACTCGAGCCTCTGCTGTGTGCTGAGATTAAAGGTAAAGACCAGTACTGGAAACGCCCCAATTTCAAAAAGTGAAATGGAAGCTCTTATTACCAATCATGTGAAAGAATATGTTTTGAATATTACATGATGATAAAAATCTTGACGGGAAACCGCTTACTAATTGATATATTTGGTAAATTAGTGTATCTCTTGCCTGTTGAGAGATATGAAATGCATGTGTTGTGCACGTGTGTGTAGTCCCATATACATCTTTCTGTGTACAGTGCTTCTAACTTGATGAAGACTTGGCCAAATTTCTTATCATTTTGATGATTCCAGAACCTTGCAGTACATCTATGCTAGATGATCAACCTTTTCTGATCGATTTCACAACGTTTCTTTCACAATGCAATCGCATGACCATAACTGGTCTTTACCTTTAAAAACACAACCTTGTATTAATTGGCTAAAGCTACTGCATTGTACATTGTCTACGGTGTACAGTAGTTAACTTCTGTATTCTACACTGTAGCTCAGAGCCAACATTTGTGTGTTTACAAGGTTGGGCCTACAGGTGGTACATTGAGGCGGTGTTTATTTTGGTAATGAAGGTATTGTTGCGAAGTGTAGTCCAAGGTTTATCCCCTTTTAAATTTGGCACATTTTGTTAATACAGACTTGACTTGGTTATATTTGGTAAATGTGTAATAGCCTTTTTCATTGTATTATTTTTTATTGTTGCAGGGGGGGGGGGGGGGGGGGAGATAATTCACTCTCATGGAGCTTCAATGATGTTTACCTTTTGGAAAGCATTGTTTATCTATGGATCTTGTTATGTGTATTTTTTGCAGAGCTATTTTTCTCAGAGCCCAAGATTTTTTCTCAGAAATGGAAAGATGTTTTACATGTACCGGGTATGTCTATGCCTTCTCTAATGAGTTCTATGGCTTTCTGGCCCTCAGAAGATGAAACAATGTCTACTACAGGTGTACATGTGTGTACTTGTAAATTGAACAGAAGGTTCTGAATTTTATTGATCATACAATCCTAATATTTTATAGATATATGCCAGGAAACTAAATTGTATACTGGCCCTATATTAATGTACTTGTGCAATGCATACACATTTACATATGTACATGTACATATGTACAGTACAGTACATGCTCATCTACATGTAGAAGTAAAATACAATACACATGAACATGTACACGTACATTATGTGCGCATAGAGTCCAGTATAATGTCTGATACTGATAGTTGTTTCAGATCTAATGTTTTATAACAGGCTTGTACATGTAAGTACAGTAGATTAATTTGTACTTTGTCCTGGGGGGTGTTTCATATAAAAGCTGTGCGTAAAGTTACGCATGACTTTACGAATGACTTGAATATGAAGAGCTATATGTAAATGGGATTCTCATATCTTTTCGATTGCAGAAGCTAAAGTGGAATTATGCAGATGAAGATTAACCTTATCATTATTAACAAAACAATTTAATGAAAAGTGTAATTTTGGCTACAATTTATTTGAGATTATGGGCAATACATGTACAGTCACACTTTGTTGAAATTTCAGGGAAAATTTTGGGCATCCCCTTTGTCTCCTTGTATTCAAATTATCTGTAAAGTCCTTTGTAACTTTACACACAGCTTTATGAAACACCCCCCCAGGGCTGTTTATTTACATGTATACAACTGAAGCATAGTACACTGTGTTCGTGCATTGTAGGTCTCAGAGCCAGGATATGGGCAATGATCACACACAACAGAAGCATATCCTTGTCAGGAGTTCTTTGTTTGTCAAGAACTCCCTTAAAGATGAAGTTGAGTTCTGGTCATGCGATTGCATTTTGAAAGAAACGGTGTGGAATCGACTAGAAAAGGTGGATCATCTAGCATATAAGACTTTGTGTGTATTGCAAGGTTCTGGAATCATCAAAATGATAAGAAATTTGGCCAAGTCTTGGTAAAGTTACAAACACTGTACACAGAAAGATGTATATGGGACTACACGAACACGTGGCGTAAAAATCCTACCCCCGAGTTTTACGATGTTACATGACATATTTAGAATATGAAGGCATTTGAAGAGCCATGCTTTTCAGGGAACATGTCTTTACTGATGTTCTTCCACACTTGCATAATAAGAATGATAATGCTCACAAATTATTTTTCACCTCTTCCCAGAACTCAACCTTCTCTTTAAATACATGTAGCACTCCAAAAACCTGAGGATTTTTTTTGTTGTGTTTCACAAAATGTTCAGAGTTGTGAACTTGTTCCCGCATGCGAGAGAATCCCAGATCCACCCACTGCTAATGATTGCATAATGTGCAGCCATCATATTGTAATGATTCCTCCCACCTCCTCCTCATTTGAATCAAGATAATTAATACCAACAGACTGTTGAGGGAATTTCGGTCTGTTGCTTCAACCTTGAATTAAAATTAATTTTAATTTTCATGATGCTGTACGAGAGTACAAAAGCATAAAGGGCTGCTTTGCATCGATAAAGAATGATGCGTGATGCGCTGACCACCATTAAAGGAATACTGGTAGTTTACTTTAGAAGAGCTACAACAAAATAGTCAGTCAGGCGAAATCATTGTCACTTAGAAATCCAATTATATTTTTAATGCAATCTTTTGTTCTTGTAACTACAGTACATACATGTATATGTTGTGGAAGAAATGTTGTTTAAGCAATTTGATGGTGTGTTAACTGTTATTGTTGTCTTTTGTTGTGAGGATATGAATATCTCATGTACACTCTGGGATACAGATAATAATAATAATAGCTCGTTCTTATATAGCGCTTTTCAGGACCGGAGGCCCTCACAAAGCGCTTTACAGATAAGTATATTATTACCCCGGTCATTGGATTCAGGCTTACCCGCACACAATGTATGCACATTCTCCACTCCCTGGGGAGTATTCCAGCCAGGCGTCATTTTTACATGCGCACACTTGCTTTAGCTTTCGCATCCTACCGGGTATCCATTTAACACCTGGGTGGAGAGTGGCAAATGTAGATCAATGACTTGTCAAAGGACATTAGTGCTGCGGCGGGACTTGAACCCGCATAGTACAAAACTGTATCATACGAGAACTCTATGCCACGGTTGCCACCGTCATCATAACATTTGGAATGACTTGTTCTATTTTGGTTAAATAGTATGCCATGTGTGCATGTACATGTACGTACATGTATGCTTCCCTTGAAGACCATCATCACATACATGTACAACGTTTAGATTTGAATCCTTCTCTTGTTAAAGGTAAAGACCAGTTCTGGTCATGCGATTGCATTGTGAACGAAACGTTGTGGAATCGATCAGAAAAGGTTGATCATCTAGCATCTAGCATCTGCAAGGTTCTGGAATTATCAAAATGATAAGAAATTTGGCCCATTCTTTGTAAAGTTACAAGCACTATACACAGAAAGATGTATATGGGACTACCCTATATCTGTCACAGACCATGAGAGAAACAAATTTACCAAATATATGAATTAGTAGGTGGTTTCCCGGCAATTTTTTTATCATCATGTATTAGTCAAAACATATTCTTTCACATGATTGGTAATGAGAGCTTCCATTTCATTTTTTGAAATTGGGGCATTTCCAATACTGGTCTTTACCTTTAAAATACAGTCAAAAGCGACCTCAAAAGTACATGTACACTGAAGCTCACTATTTTAATGGGATACTACAGTACATGTACGTCACGTGTCAAATACATGTACTGTACATGTATCAGGATTTATAGGCAATTGTGCAGTGACGATCAGCACTACTGCAGCAGCATTCAGTCAATATTGCTCTAGAAACCGAAACCAGGATGTAAGGAGACATCAGAAGCAGGCCTAAAAACAACACTACAAACGGTGAAAGAGATTAGTGGAGGAAGATGTAGTACTGTATGATCTACATGTTGATTGTACGCCATTGAAGTTCAGCTCATAGTGAAAATAAAAGTGAAAGGGAAGGAAATAGGAAAGAGAGATGGAGAGTGAGATTGAGAGTGGAAAAGAAATAAAATAGGGAAAGGGACGAAGAAGTGAGATGTGAACGAAGAGAGAGAGGGAGAAAGGTAATGGAGAAAAAAAGAGGTACAGTTGACTAAATCCTTTAAAGGCCCTCTGCACTACTTGTAGCTACATGTACTTGTGCCCTCTATATAACAAACAATGCCTAATCGGTGACCATTGGTCCCCCATGATCCTCTTTTTCTTATGTTAAGTGACAGCTAAGTTGATGAGATAACCAACTGTCCAGTGACCTTGTAGGGCGGTCTAATCCCTCCTGTAAACTATGGCAGATAAGCTTTAATACCGGACCAAACAAAAATTGTGTCTTTGTGGGCAGGTGGTGTTCCTATACAGGTTGTCGCTAAACCAGGTTTGACTGTACCAGTACATAAATATGACATTGTACATGTACATGTACATATAAAGTATTGTTGTATACACACATTCACTGGTAGAATACATTTGAATCATTTCCCTTCTTTTATTCTTTTCTGCAGATATCAAGAAACATTGAGAAAGGATTCATTCAATCAAATTGCCTCCATATCACAACAACTGTATGTCAGTGTCAAACACCGTACCTCCATCCACCAATCTTTGTGCTGCCCGGTGCACTAAGGGACGTGCCTCCCACAGTGCCCAGGTCTGCAGCAACGACCCTATCCTGTGGTCTACGCAGAGGGCGCTTTTCAAACCTGAAGGCAGCCGACCTCTACTATGGAGATAACGCGAACACGGGAGCACTATCGGTGCTCTTGCGTGCTCGTCCAGCTCCAGGTCCAACTCACCGTTTTTATATTCTGGATCGCGCTAGCGCATCCGTCTGGTGCCCTCTATCTGGACTTCCGATCAAACCACCAACTGGATCAGGACTCTTCGAACGTCCCTCGAGACGAGCTGGGACACGAGACACTCTCTTGGGCGGTCAAGATACAGCATCAGACACACAGGAAAAATGTGAACAGGACTCATGTAGATCTGCTAGCTGACGTAATCGCAGAGGATCTACGTCTGAAAAACTACGGGCAGGTCGGGGAACTGATGGGGCATTATTTATTCGCGGCAGAAAGCTACCATGAAGCATTAAATGGCAGCATGGAAAGAGACTTGGTGGGGAAGATTCGCGGGAAAGCTGAGCGGGCCCTCGCGAGACATCCAATGATTGAATGGTTCAATCAACAGACTATACGAAGGAGATTTAAGAGGTCGCTCGTTTTTACCGATCCATCATATCCAAATCAATGGCATTTAGTAAGTATACGGTTTAAACGCTTACCGGTACATTATAATCATAATTTCATAAGGATTTTCTCAAATTTACCATGTGTTTTTTCAAGGTTTCTGAACTCTTTGTCAAGGAAAATTTGGAAGAAAGATACTTTGGGCTTTTTGATAGCAAGAGCAGTGCATTTTGAACTCATCTTCATGTCACGTACGATTGGATTGCACTTGTGTTTTGAGGGTAGGTTAAGGGTTAGGTTTAGGATTAAGTTTAGTCGATTCAGGTTAGGGTTAAAGCACCACTGCACTACTTATAGCTACTTGCGCCCTCTATAACAAACAATGCCTAATCGGTGACCGCTGGTCCCCCATGATCCTCTTTTTGTGACGTTAATTGAGAGCGTATTTGATGAGATAACCACCCGTCCAATGACCTTGCAGGGTGGTCTTATCCTTCTGTACACTAGTACAAATGGGCTTTAAGATGTGTATCAAGGGTTGAGGTTAGAAATCTGAATTCTGGTAGAGATTGAACACTCAAAAGTCAAAATCATTGCTGAAGGATGTATTTTTAGTCCAGTTGGAATTAAAAAGAGTACAATTTTGTTAAATATTAATAAAACTCCCAAAGTACAAAACAAAAGTAAAAATAACTGGCACTTAATCTCTTTCCTAACTTAGTAAGTGTTTTGCTGTGTACACTCATAGGAATATACATGTACAGTATGTTAATTTGTTTCCGGCCATTGATGGTTTGCCTGCATGTGGTGAAACAGTGGGTGGTGAGTCAGTGGTCTTTGTTGGTATGTAGTATCATGCATTCATGTCCCAGGATGTTTTCCCACCTCCCTGCTTGGATATATCCAACATGTACCAGGCAAGTCCTGGGTGTTTGGTCATAAATATACAACAGTAACATGAGAGATTTTCAGTCTCGGCATTAACAGTAGGGTCCATCATCATTTATTGAAGCCACTGCAGTACTTACTTGCGCCCTCTATTTAGCAACCAATGCCTAATCGGTGCTTGTTGGTTCCCCTGATCCCCTTTTTCTCATGTTAATGTTGATTGTGAGCTGACATTTGGAGCTTGTGTGTTTGAACAGATTTGAATCAAGTACATGTACAATGTACACAGAAACACAACTTAATACTACATTTTTAGGACATCATATGATTGAAAGAGAATGGCCTCCTCCACGTTCAAGCTCTAGCCTATTAAAGTTGGTGGTCTCAAAAAATTTCAAATTTGAAATGATCGTCAACTATGTGTTTTTTGAAAAGTATAATTATTTAAGTAATTTATTATATGATATGACTATATAAGCATTTTGACATATGTTTGTACAGTGTATGTATGTACACTACATGTACACTGTACCAAGTTTGTACATGGACTGTATATTGTTTTTTATTATGTTAAATAATGCAGAACTAAAAACAAACACACATACAAACAAGTTGTACATGTAATCATTTGTAACTTTTTAACTTATTTTTTCTCTCTGGTTTCATATCTTTTTACAGCACAACTCAAAGAATGCTGGTATGGACATTAATGTAACAGGCATATGGGAGCACAACATCACGGGGCTGGGGGTCACCGTGGCGGTCATCGATGATGGTAGGTTAATAATTGCAAAAGCGCAATGCTGTCAATGTTTCCTATTCAATATACCAGTAAACCTTTTGTTAATTTGTTTCATTGAAAATGTAGGTTTCATTTCTTCCTATGACCAACTATTAAAGTAAATGGTTCCTTGTCATATCTGTGCATTACTCTCAATCTCAAATGAAAAACAAAACAAAAACAATTTCATATGATACATGTACATCAAACAAAAATGCCCCATAACTGAAAATGTTATGATCTTAAAGGTGAATTTATTGTGTGTTGTCATGAATTATTTTATTTTTTGTATATATAAGGTTTATTTGAAAGCTTTTTTTAATAAGCTTCCCTCTAGATATATTGTTGACGGGGTCTGGAATGCATTATACATGTACGAGACTAACTTCTACCCCAAACAATTCTCCAGTCTCTCATGTGCTACAGTAAAGCGTTAGTCTAACACTCCCAGACTCAAATATTGGGGCAAGGGATGCGAGCAACAATTTGGTCCAATTTGTGTCGATGAGTGATTTTTTTGTTGACGACATCTACTGCTCGTCTACCTTGTTTGCCATTTAAGGTTGAATTTGAAAGTTGTCAATTTTAGGGAAAGGGACAGTTGTGGTTGCTGAAACTTTGTACTCGGTTTCCTGATGTTGTTTACCAATTGATGTACAATTCAGTCAATTTAGGTTTAATGTCATGGGCCAGGGCTTGCTTCTTTCTTCGATGATGGAATGATCTATATTTTGCTTTTTGCAGTGAAAACTTGGCAGATTTTGTGTAATTTGGCAAGGTTAGCTGTTTCTGTCATCGACATTGGTTTCAAGGTACCATTTGTTATCAAGGTGTACATGTATACACAATCAAAATGAACATCAAACTTGGCAATTTGGTGGTGTTTGTGTTATTGTTTTGTTTTGAGAACGTTCCCGTTCACCTTTGTATTAAAAAATGAACTTGTTCGAAAGAAACAGTATACCATAATGCCCCCCCCCCCCCCCCCCGGCCTTATTAGGGTTAACACATGATATTTTGGTTTAAATTGAACATTTTTTTTTTTTTTTTATTATACTGAGAGACCCTGAACCTGATGACTCATAAGTGCTTTGTGTTTGCAAACTATTGTCCCTTTAAATGCAAACTTGAGAAAAGGTCTTCAAAACAGGGTGCTAAATAGGTGAATTACAATGAGTTGTAAGAGCTTGGCACACAAAGAATGAGTAAGAGACCAAGGGGGAGGGGGAAGAAAAGAAACAATCTTAAGAGGATAGACCAACAAACAGTACTATTACAGGGTTCTATCAGTAGGTCCATGGTTCTATCAGTAGGTCCATGGTTCTGTGATCGACCTACAATGCACATGTACACACATGTACATGTACACATCTGTGACTCCCTGTCAATCAATTCATATGCAGAGCGAAGCTTGTACAGCAAAACCCCACTCTTCTTGGCAAATCCCATTGTGCTGTAGGAGCCTCTGAACTTTTTAAATAATTGTATTATTTTCTTTATTTGTTAATACAGGGTTGGAGTGGACTAATGAAGACATTGCAGAAAATTATGTAAGTATCTGTTCCTCATACTCTTCTGATATTGTATACTGCATTTTATTTCTAGGCTTTTGATTGGTCAGTCAAAGCTGCAGGCATTAAATTCACTACTGACTGCTGGGCAGTATAGTGAAAAATATTGACCAGGCATGGTTCTACTTGCGCGTCAAATGCAAGCACGCAGTGATTGCGTGTAAAGTTGACATTGGATATACCCAATGAAACATGCGCAATTGCTCTTTGGCGTGTGTATATTTTCTTTGAGTTTACAAATAAATACACTTCATCTGGCATAGTTTGTTAAAATATCTCTTTTTTGTAAGAACTGACACATGGGATGCGGTATATAAAACAAATATTGACTGTTTAAATATTTCGTTAAAATATCTCTTTTTAAGAATTGATACTTGGAATGCGGTTTATGAAACAAATATTGACTGTTTATTTTTTGGGTTATACAATGTATACATTTACACTTCATCAGGTATATTTTTCTGAAATATGTCTTTTTAAGAATTGACACATCCAAACAAGAATTGCTACACTAGATAAATATAAACAACAGAGCATCAAACAAATTATGAGAATGAGGGGCCAACAAAAAGGAGGAAAATAGCATTATACAAAGAGCAAAGTTCAGACCAAACCCCCCAAATGGCCTGATATAATAGACCCACCATTTTTGATAGGGTATAACCCTATACAGGTGTACATATACACATACTTGTATTTTGTGCCTCAAAAATTGATAAATTCCTTTTGTCAAGATTTTTTGTTTCCCCCCACAAGGGCAGTTTCAACTGATTCTCTCAAATAGAAAATTTCCTGTATAAATTCTATAAAACTTTGATGGAGCAGTTGTTTTGGATAGTAAAACCCGGGCCCTGTTATATAAAACTTGTTACCAATAACAAATGCTATTAAAGTTTTGATGACAAATTTGCTCTCAGCTAATCAAATGCCACAATTTCAGTATTTTATAACAGATGTTGAAACTTGTTACGGTATTGATAACAAGTTTTATGAAACGGGGTCCAGAAGTGGATAATAATCATATGTGTGCTGTATCAACGGATCTTGTGCATTATGAAATTAAAATAACTTTGTTGCCTTTTTAGTTGATGCCAAATTGGCAAAAGTTGGAGATGCCAGTAAATGGGGCAGTTGGCTAATTGAGCACATTGAATTTTAATAATCCTTTAGCACACCCCCTATTAAAGTGTAATTTAATTTTCTGGAAAAGAATAATGAAACAATCTTGAAAAAATTGTCTTCACTATGTACATGTATATGTAAATGTAGGTATCTTATTGAAATGCATTGCATTGTGAGTGCATGAAACATAATTAGTTTATACATAGGTCCAATGTGAGTGTGAAGATCAAATTCCAACAGATAAGCTTCAGTAGTTCAAAAGGAGAAAAATGTTTAAACCGAAAGACTTTCAAAATTGCAGCATTGTCTGAAGTTGAATGACAGGAATTGACAAAATGAAAATAAAAATAAAGCAATAAACAAATAATTTAAAAACAAAGAAGCAAGCAAACAAACCAACAAACCAGGACGGAGGGATAGCAGTTTAGGAACTAAATGAACAACATTAAATAAATAAGTAAACAATTACAAATTTTAAAAAATCAAACATCCCTCCTCTCGCAAAAAATGTTAAAATTGAATAGTCCCTACATATGTACATATGTACTACGTATGTACAGTCATGTAACAGGATTTGGGGGGAAGTCACTTGTTCCTGTACATACATGTATGTACAGTATGTGTAGGTCTTTTTATGAACTTTTGTACAGGAACAAGTAACTTTCCCCCAAACGACTGTACTGTATCCAGGACCATTTCCACATACTGCACATTGCGGATGTGATTCAAGGACTAGTACACGTACATGCAACTTCTTTCTGACGTTTATTTAGGTCACTAGTATTTTCAGTAATGATAGGATCTCGCTATTTAATGACTACCGGTATATCCTATAAAGCTTTGAGTCAATTCAGACCTTTTTATCTTTGAAAGGAAACCAAGGATGTTTAGTAATAGTGCCTACATGCATATTGAGGTCAGCTCGATACAATATAAAAAAAAGGATCAGTAAAATCGTACTTTCATACCAATACATACATGTACAAGGTCAGCTCGACACAATTTATAAAAGGTTCTGTATTAAAATATTTGTTTCACACTTCAGGGGGGCGTTTCACAAAACTTGTCATCAGTGACAAATGACAGTTTTTGTTATAAGCTAATGAAATCCTTGCTTCTGATTGGTTATCAACAGATTTGTCAATGATTTTTGTCATTTGAAACACCCTCCTGGTCCATCACCCAAGAAGTAAACATTTAAAAAAAAATGAAGGAAAACAGTATCATTAGAAATTTTCACTTCCATTGATAATTATTTAAGTTATTTGTTTTAATGTATATAATGAGGTCAGCTTGAAACAATTTAAACAAAAAAATCTGCAAATATTTGTTTCACACTTCACAGCATATCAACCAATAGTTAAACATGGAATTGTTCAGTTTTACATTTACCGGTAAACAATAATTGAAGTACTTAGTGAAACGGTATCATTGGAAATTATCATTTCCATCGATGCTCATTAGTTTTTAATGTGGCCAAAAATTCATAAGTGAAGTAATTACATGTAAAAAGAAAAAGAAAGTGAAGTACTCCTACATGTACATGTATGTCAGGCATTACAATGATTAAATGAAATCAAAATGTGGTCCACATTACATTGGCAGTGACCTGCATTACAGTGCATAGCAGTCAATGAATCATAAATTGTGAATAAACATTATGTCCTGGTAAAGCCTAGGGAATATGGTCCCATATTAATCTCCCAGGAGATGTTTAATCCCTCACAGGATTAATGGTTAATCCTGTTATTATTTCTGCCCAGTTTTGCCTTGATTTGTAGCCAAGCTTGTTCCCTTGATAAGTACTGCATTCTGTTTCAGACATATTATATCCATAAAATGTGGGTCAGTTCCGTTCTATTCTATAATTATCCATAATTCATGTGAGAACAAATTTGTTTACATGTTATGTATGGATTATTATTTGGATTATTATTTTTTCTCTTCTGTATGGCTGTCTAATTAGGATCCATCGAGTTGTATTAAATCATAGAAGTTAATTTTTCCTAGCATTCTGTCCCATTCTGTTGTACACAGAGATGCCAACTGTTCTCTTTTTTCGCTATGAATACGGCAGTACATTTTTTGTATGTTTTGTTACATTTTTTTATTTTTTAATTTTTTAATTTTTTAAATATTTTTTTAAAAATTTATTTATTTATTTATTTTTTTTTTTAGTGACGTTTTTCTTAATTTCTGATCATGGGCTTTGTGTTGTAAGTGTATTATGCACCTACATCTTCAAAAGATGCACTCAGGATGGTGATACAGGCCCCAAACTGCGCACATTGCGAACAACCCACATGTAATGTATGCACGTCGCGCTCCGATCCGGGTACGTATACGTGGTACTGCCAGGTTTTTTAAGCTGCTCGATTGGGCGACATGTTAAGTTGAGAGATTTTTTCAAAAATACTGTTTTTTGTCCAAAAATACTGTTTTTTGCTCTTAAGAATACTTTTTTTTTGTTGAAGGTTGGCATCTCTGTATACAGTCTTGTTTTAAAAGGACTTTGTAAATTCTGCTGATACTGTATGTAAATATAGGCCCCAGTGGAAACATGCATTTACATGTACATGTGCTCTGCTCCAAATGTATGCCCTCGTTTTCATCACTTTATCTTAAAGGAGAGATATTGAATTGTGAATTCCATTGGATCGAAAATTGCCTGAAAGTCATAGAAGCTATACAAAAATTGAGAGAACAAAACAATATAACACAAGTGAGTGGTGATTGAAACTGATGGGTGTTTTTACAAAAGAAAAGAAAACTGTGTTAGTGTGTTTGAACTTGAAGTGTCATTGCCTTAAAGTGACCATTTCAGCTGATAATATAGTCACTTTGCAAATAGAACTATCTAGATTGACTGAAGTACACTATTTACTTACATCTAGGTCTTCAAGTGCAGCGATATGATGATAAGATCTTCAGTTGTGTCAGCACAATTTTCCCGACAATTTATGCAAGAAAACAAATAGAACTTTTGATAGCTTTTTCATTTTATTTTCCGTTTTTTTGTGTGCTTAGTCTTAAAAATAAAAAGGGAAGATTAACAAATTACATGTATTTTCAATATTATTTTTTAAATGTCTCAATAAATGCATTTTGTTAGAGTTTTCTGCACAGGGCTATTTCTACAGGTACTCCCTATTTATTCAGTTTAGAAACAGCTTTAAACTTGGCTCAAGACTTTATGGCATAGAACAGTGTATTCAAATTTATGAATGTTTCTTTCCTGGGGACATTGTGACAAGTTATTTCATCAACTAGTTATTAATGAATGAACTGAAATACTTGGAATCCATTTTGCATACTTTACTTGTTGCAAAAAAACAAAATCCTTTTGAATGCCATTAGGATTAAATCCTTAATACATTGATTTATCAAGCAAATCAAATCAATTGAAACATTTGTGGCTTACACCCAGTAAATAAGATCGATTGATCGCTCTATATTGAAAAAAAAGTCAGAACAGATCTTGGAACCAGCGGGACTTGAACAGGTCTGCATCTACTGCTTGTCGGGCAGCAACTCTACCACCAGACCATCACTGGTCCATGGCACAGTCACGATGGACTAGAAACAAATACACAAGCTCTCCTGATTCATTCTGACCTATCGAATAATCAATCGATCTTATTTACTGGGTGTAAGCCACAAATGTGTTTCAATAATTGAAATTTCTCCCAGGAAGCATTACATTAATTAAAAAAATCAAATCAAGTCGTGCGTACATGTAGCTACTATTCATGCTATTGCCCCTGCTGCATGTTACACTATGTACTTGTCCATGTTCTTACATCTGTCACTTTTCAATTGACTTGCCAAGTTCTAAAAATGAAATGTAAAGACAATCTTGAGTCTCAAATTAAATTATTTTGTCAGTTGGCACGATACATGATACTATCCAAACAACCATATTTTTAATTACTTGTTGATTTGTTTATCTTCTGTGTTTTCATTTGCTTCCTCCTTCCTTTCTTTCCTTCTTGCTTTCTTTCTTTCCTTCTTTCTTTCCTTCCTTCTTTCTTTCTTTCTTTCCTTCTTCCCTCCTTTCTTTCTTTCCTTCTTTCCTTCTTTCTTGCTTTCTTTCTTTCCTTCTTTGTTGCTTTCTTTCTTTCCTTTTTTCCTTCTTTCTTGCTTTCTTTCTTTCCTTTTTTCCTTCTTTCTTTCTTTCTTTCTTTCCTTCTTTCTTTCTTTCTTTCCTTTTTTCCTTCTTTCCTTCTTTCTTTCTTTCCTTCTTTCTTTCTTTCTTTCTTTTTTTTCCTTCTTTCTTTCTTTCTTTCTTTCCTTCTTTCTTGCTTTCTTTCCTTTTTTCCTTCTTTCTTTCTTTCTTTCCTTCTTTCTTGCTTTCTTTCTTTCCTTTTTTCCTTCTTTCTTTCTTTCTTTCTTTCCTTCTTTCTTGCTTTCTTTCTTTCCTTTTTCCTTCTTTCTTTCTTTCTTTCTTTCCTTCTTTCTTTCTTTCTTTCCTTTTTTCCTTCTTTCCTTCTTTCTTTCTTTCCTTCTTTCTTGCTTTCTTTCCTTTTTTCCTTCTTTCTTTCTTTCTTTCTTTCTTTCCTTCTTTCTTGCTTTCTTTCTTTCCTGTTTTCCTTCTTTCCTTCTTTCTTTCTTTCCTTCTTTCTTGCTTTCTTTCCTTTTTTCCTTCTTTCTTTCTTTCGTTCTTTCGTTCTTTCTTGCTTTCTTTCTTTCCTTTTTTCCTTCTTTCTTTCCTTCTTTCTTTCCTTTTTTCCTTCCTTCTTTCCTTCTTTCTTTCTTTCCTTCTTTCTTGCTTTCTTTCTTTCCTTTTTTCCTTCTTTCTTTCTTTCTTTCCTTCTTTCTTTCCTCCTTTCTTTCTTTCCTCCTTTCTTTCTTTCCTTCCTTCTTTCTTTCCTTCTTTCTTTCTCATTTTCCCACCCTTTGTTTTTTTCTTTATTAGTTTGTTCGTTCATTTATTCATTGATTCATTTTGAATAGAAAAACAAATCAGAGCTCTTTTGGGTGCATTCCAGAGCCAAATGTGTACATCTGCACTTGGTTGTGCTCTGCTTTTTTCTCCATTCCAATGAAATTTGTTAGTCAGACTTCGCTAAATATAATGAGCTCATTACAGAATCAGAAATTTGATGCAGTAGGCCTGTTTCCATCAGCTTGAGATTGCCAAATATCTCACTATTTCAAATTTTCAAGTATCGCAAATTATCCAGCTAATGTGCCTTTCATCAGCCCAAAGTTGAAATTAGTGGGATATTTGGTCAAGATAATCATCCCAAGATATCTTGGGTTAGTTTGCAAAATATCCCCCTACTTGGCAAAATAGCCTACTATTTGACAGGTGCATCTTAACCAGCCCGAAGACTCGCACTTTGCGCGAACGCTGAGCAAAATATCTCAAGCTTCAAGTTTCCAGGTCCATGAAGATGAAGACAAAGACGCGATTTGTAACTTCTGGATTATTCCCCCGCTATTTTGCAATCTCGAGCTGATGGAGACAGGCCTAGTATTTCTTTGACCTTGTCAAATCAATGGCTGTGAACTTGATGTAAGCCATGCCCAGGGCAACAGGATTAGAAACACATTTTGTCCCCTGTTTCCAGAGAGGAACACTAGGAATAGGGTACAGTGTACATGCAGAGAAGCTGATGTTACCATGGTAACAAGCAAATCTGTTACTGGTACTTAATCTGGATAAGTACATATATATATACACTGAAGAAATACTTCAAATGCAAGTTTGCAACTACATAGTGTACATGTATGTGTATGCAAGATGGGATTGAATAAAAATAGTCCTGCAGCAGTTACCGGGTAACAGAAAATAGACAAGTGAAGAAGAAATAAAACATTATCAGCTTAAGACTTTGTTAAGTAATCAAGTCAGATGCTGTAAACTACCTTTAGTATATACAGCATACCTTATAATGTAGATCGACACTTGGGATACTAAATTGTAAGCAATTTCGTGGATATACATTTGTAATCTGGTGCATGGGTAATTACAGGATTACAAATTTGAATACTGAAAATCATTATTACTTTATATTCTCCAGATGTTTTATTGTTTCATCACTTGTTTTATCGTTTCATCGCTTGTTTTATCGCTTGTTTCATCGTTTCCTCGCTTGTTTTAAATCGTTTCATCGCTTGTTTTACTTGTGCAGTGTGCAGAAGGTAGTTGGGATCTGAACTCCAACGATGACAATCCTGCCCCAGAGATGAGGATAAAGGACGGGAAACAGTCTCAGAATCGTCACGGTACGCGCTGCGCCGGGGAGATCGGTGCGGCTCGTAACAACGTCTGTGGGGTGGGTGTCTCCTTCAGCTCCAGAGTATCAGGTGAGAACAAAATAACGGATATTATCTGCAGTATCTTAAAGGTAAAAACCAGTTTTGGAAACGCCGCCCCTCTCAAAAAATGAAATGGAAGCTCTTATTACCAATCATGTGAAAGAATATGTTTTGACAAATACGGGATGAAACAAATTTTGCTGGGAAACCGCCTACTAATTAATATATATTTGGTAAAATATTATATCTATCTGGACCGGAGAGATATCGTGCACATGTCACGTAGTCCCATATACATGTACATGTACATTTTTCTGTGTACAGTGCTTGTAACTTCACCAAGACTAGGCCGAATCTCTTATCATTTTGACGATTCCAGAACCTTGCCGTACACACCAATACTTTTATGCTAGATGATCAACCTTTTCTGAACGATTCCACAATGCAAGCGCATGACCAAAACTGGTATTTAGCTGTAAAGCCTGTCTGCACTAGTTTGGCCAGGAGGGATTAGACCTCCCTGTGTGGTCACTAACAGGTGGTTATCTCATCAAATCAGCTCTCAATTAACATAAGAAAATGGGATCATGGGGGACCACACTAGGAACATGACGGACAAAGAAAGCGGACAAAATATACAGTTCCTCAGGTAGACAAAGGAACATCCTTTCACTGCTATATGTGTACAACAGGTGTCACATGCATATTCACCTGTTCTACACATTTTTACATGATAGCAGTGAAGGGATGTTCCTTTGTCTACCTGAGGAACTGTATATTTTGTCTGCTTTCTTTGTCCGTCATGTTCATAGTGCCAACGGGTAACGCATATACATATAGGGCCCAAGTAGCTACAAGTAGTGCAGTCCCGCTTTAATGGCAGGGTATTCTACCGACAGTGCTCATTACGACTCTCAATTGAGCCATCTTCCGGGGATTGTATGTTTTTTGTGTTTATAATAACTCAAGAATGAAAGGTGGACTTTTATTTATTTATTTATTTATTTTGTTTTATTTAAACAGGGTGGCCCCGTCAGTAATCGCAGTACTGTTTTCCAGGGGGCCCTGTACACAAATGCAACATATACATAATATGAAGAAACAAACTACTTGAACAATATAAACATCACGGAAACATCAATACATAGTAACATATAATAGAAAAAAAGAGTAAAGAATAAGAGTGAATAATGAAACAAAGCCGTAGTAAGAATGATAAATTTCTATGAGCAATTTTAAATCGATAACAATATACTCTGATTATTATCAATGATCTGTTTAGATTTGAACAAATTATTATATTGAAAAATTTATGTAAATATTCATGAAAGAAATAAATAAAGAAAGGCAAATTTATCTTTAACATCGCTGCTTAAAATAGAGAGAACAAAAAGTCTTCTTGGTCGGGGCATTTCAAACTGAGTGGGGTAGGCTATTCCACTGAAGAGCACCATCAACTGAGAAGGCACGACTGGTTGCTTTAGGGGCTTTATTGAATACTTCTAGCTGTAAGCTTTAATATGTACAATTCTCAAGAAACATAAATTGGGACTAATCAACGTATCGTATTCTTTAAATATTACAAAACTTGGAAAGGGTATGAATCAGTTGTTAACTGTACTGTATACATGTACGTTGCATTATTTATTGTAATGAGTTTATATTCACTTGTTCTGTAAGTTTTCACCCTTCACAAAACTTGTTCAACACTTCACACAAGTTTCAATTACATGACTTGGATAGTGAATCATAGAAATATATCAGTTACATTTGAGAATGACGAGAACATGCTGGATATTGTTACAACGTATTGTGTTCTAGGCACTTGTATTTCCTTTCCAAGTTCCGTTTTCAAAAAGCAAAGAGAAGTGGAAAAAAGGGGAAATTAAATCGGATACTTTGATACTGCAATACTATGCTTACGTGACCAGATTGAACTCTGATAATTTGCACCACCCCCTAATGTTTTTAACAGTCACATGGCGATATCAATTTCCATTGAGCAAGGCCTGATTCCTTTTTAATTTAAGGGAAAATGTACCATGTGCTAATGTGCTGATTATTATTCAATATATCCTTTGGGTAATAGTTCAATCATTTTTCATGCAGCTGCGATGTACTGTACAATGTAGTTATCACAATTACATGTAGTCTCATCCCCAGACCTATAAACCTGTTTGTTTGGTTTGATTTGATTTGATTAGATATATTTATTTCTGTTTGATTTTCTTTTTTTTTTGCATTTTTACAAATATATAACAAGCAGACATTTCAAATTTCACATGACAAAAGAATATATATAGAATAAAGTAAGTGGTAACTAATCGAAAACATCAAACGGAAGGGTTGACAAAGTAAGCAAAGCTTGATAGCATGACTACCCTCAAAGGATACATGATAATACAAATATGGAGGAAAAAATATAGGAAAAAAGGGAAAAAGACAGAAAAAAGAAGAAGCGATGCTAATACTGAGAATTAAAATGTGAATTAATACTTTTTGTGTTGTTCAGGAATCTACACATGTTTTGAGATATTTGGGGCTTAAAAACAGAAAAGAAGTTTGTTGATAATTGTCAGGGATACATGGTACGCCTTTCCTGTCTTAGCCACTGAAGACTCGTTGAAACATGACGCAGGAAAACCGCAGTGTTTTTCATGACGTTGAAGATAAACTCCAGTTCTGGTAAAAAAAGAAAATTAATTCTCACAGAATCAAACAAAACTTACACTGAATGTTCAAGATTACAAATAAATGACATGTGCCAAAAGATTTTTGAAGAAAATGTATACTGGCTGAGTAATGAGCATAGAAAAACAAGAAAATCAAGGTAGTACTAGCCCCGATTCCATGTGTGTTGTCCCATATATAGCTTTCTGTGTACAGTGCTTGTTACTTTACCAAGACTCGGCCAAATTTATGATGATTTTGATGACTCCAGAACCTTGCAGTGCACACCAATACCTACATGTACATGCTACGTGATCAACTGTTTCTGATCCATTCTACACCTTTTCTTTCACAATGCAATCGCATTACCAGAACTCACCTATATCTTTAAGTGTAATCACATTTCACACTTCTGTGTCTTATAAAACAGAGCTCAATGAATACGCGTAAGTCCTTATGCGTCATTCATTCATTAAAGGGATTAGGTATCTTTGTCTCAGATTCTGAAACAAAACCCGGATTTAGCTCATGCTGCAATGATAATTATAAACCTTTAGGTCATACATGAATCCAATGAAAGCCAATCGCCTGTCTGATTATCAAGGTATCTATGATTGGGATTAGAAATTTCAGATTTGTTTTCCCAACGGTTTTTATGACATTACAGTTTATTCAGAAAAATGGGTATGGTAAAACCAGTCACTCAAAGATTTTTATTTTTTTGAGGCACTTCGTGATCATTTTGAAGCACAGTTTTTTTTAGGGCTTAAATATTACCAAATATCACAGACACTGATAACACGTAGGGCCATGCATCTCAGATTTAACATTGTTAAAAGATGCCTGTAATACACATAAAAAGCAAAAACAAAAACAAAACATGGCAGGTTTTTGTGGCGGTTTACCGCCGCTATATCTGAACAAGCCTTAAAAACACATATTAAACAAATGGCTCATTTTCGTTTGTCCCCACCTGCCATTCTTTTATATCTAAAAAGATTTTTTATTTTTGCTAAACAATTTCTGAAAGTGATTTCCAGCCTTGTGTTTGAATGAGGTCCAGAGAGTTGAGGTCACTTCAAACCGGATTGTACTTTAGAAATCATCTGCTTTCATAGCCATTGTTTGATGATAGATTGTCAAGCTAATAGTATCCACTTCCCGGGGAATACTAAATTGAAAGTTTAAGAATAACAAGGAAATAATTGTTTCTGTGTCAGGAAATCTGGCATCTAAAAAAAAAAAAAGTAATTATACATTTACACGTGCAGTATTGATTTTAAGTTTAATGATAACAATGTTATTTTTTGTTTTCCAGGTATTCGATTGCTAGACGGTCCCATGACGGATAGCCTAGAAGCAACAGCTTTCAACAAATTTATGTACATCAATGATATCTACAGTTGCAGGTATGTCTGTTTACTTCTTTCTTTTTTTCTGTCCCTCCATCTACATGTATCTATCTCTCCCTCTCCAGATCCCCTTCTCTTGTTCCCACCACACTCTCTCTTTCTGCCCCCAAACTTTTCTCTCCTTCCCCCTTTTTTTCTCTACCCTCTTTTTACTCCTCATCCTCTCTCTTCCTCTCTCTGTTTCCCTCTATTTTCCTCTCTTTCTCTCTCATTCTCTCTCTCATTCTCTCTTTCCATCTCTCTTTCTTTTCATCTCTTTCTATCACTCCTCTCTCTCTTTCTCTTCCTCTCTCTGTCCCTCTCCCTCTTTCCTTTTCTCTTTTCCCCTCTCTCTTTACTCCTCCCCCTTTCTCCTTCATTTTCCCCTCTCTCTTTCCCCTCTCCCCCTCCCCCTCTCTCTCCCACTCTCTTTATCTCCCTCACATTCTTTCCCATTGCCCCCCTCTCTCTCTCTCTTATTAAACAAATATAATCTAGGGCAGGCGATTGTTTGAGTCTGCATAAACAAGAGCTTTCATGTACATGTACAGGTGTAAGTAAATATGCAGTTTAAGACATCTGTGAAGTACATGTATCAACAAGCATTTATATTGTATGAATTCGATCTATTATGAGCATGAACCCACTTAAACATGTTCAAGGTTGTTTAAAAATGACCTTGTATCACTGCATACGTACAATTAACAACGAAATTAGTCATACTCTTAACAGGTAGGCTTTCAGCGTGTCCACACACTAAAACAATTTATCCCGAAACTCTATAACGAAACGTCGTATAAAGAATCATCGCATAAATTTTAGAGTGTCCACACACAAGAATCGTCGTATAAATTATCATCGTATAAATTCCAGGATGTCCACACACAGAAGAAAGTAATCATGAAACTCTACAGCGAAATGTCGTATAGGTGCGCAGTTTGCTACTGCGATCATGAAATGGAAGCGAAAATGAGAGGTCAGGTCTCCTTTCGCTCGAGGTCACGTTAAGCCCCGCCCAGTTAGTTACACTAGTTACACTCCCCCTGTCCACACACAACATTTTCCGTGATTAGGCGTGATTCTTTATTGAGTTTCAGTTCGAAACGATGCCCAAACCTGCGTTTCGTTAGACTAGTTTCGTTATACGACGTATCGTTAGTGAGCGTCCACACACACAATTTTCATCGTAAAACTATCGCGAAACGGTATCACTATCGCGAAACGGTATAGCTAATCACGGAAAATGTTGTGTGTAGACAGGGGGTTTACTTCTTCAGCCAGAAGGGATTAGACCACACAGCGAGCCATCGAGGTCACTGTGACAGGTGGCTATCTCATTAACTCAGCTCTCATTTAACATAAGAAAAAGAGGATCATGGGGGGCAACAGGCACCAATTTGGGAAGTTTTCACTATGGAGGGAGCAAGTAGCTACAAGTAGGACAGTGTGCCTTTAAAAAGGTTTTGTAATTTGCAATTGATTTGTCCCCATTTACGTTTCTTGATAATGCGACATCTGAACGTATTCAACAAAGGCCCTAATTCAACCAGTCCACCTTTCAAGGACACAAAAACATCAAATTTACATAAAACATATAAATAAAAATAAATAAAAAAAACACATCAAATTTACAAGGGGGATGAATAATTTTGTTGTTAAATGTATAAGCTGTACCATTAAGATTCCTACCTTTGGTTTTGTGTGTATTAGCAGAGATTGTTCAAGGGTAGATCGCGGTTGAGGAAGGGGGAAGTTATTATTTAAATACTTAATCATTTTCAAGTTGGAAACCCCAAATATGTAGCAGTGTGTTGTTGCAGAGTCCCTCAACTACCAGATAATCTAGCAAATGTTAGTAAATTACATCCTGCTGACAATGATTTTGATGTTCATTATTAGGACTACATGTATGTAAAACCGTCACAGTTTGGTTATAATGACGTAAGTATATCATGCTTTGGATTTTTGTATCTTGCAACAGTATGAGCTCTACGACCTATGCTGCATGTAGCTACATCACCTTTTTTGTTATCCCAAGTGATCATTTCCTAATATAGAAAGTATAATATAATATAAAAAGATAGAAGAAAAAAACTCTTGACTTCCTACCTGGGGCCTGTTTCACAAAGCCTTTTTTTAATGACAAATGACAGAAATCAGTGACAAATCTGCTGATATCCAATCAGAAAGAAGGATTTCAGTAGCTTATTACAAAAACTGTCATTTGTCACTGATGACAAGTTTTGTGAAACGCCCCCCTGGTGTAAACTACATGTAGCCATGACATGATCCATTCACATCTCAAATGTATGAAATTAAACGTAAACAAATGATCTGATTCTCTCTCTCCATAGTTGGGGTCCAGATGACGATGGGAAGACGGTAGATGGACCACACACTTTAGCAAAAGCAGCTCTGCAACACGGCGTCACGTACGGGAGGAGGGGGCGTGGCAGCATCTTTGTGGTTGCTAGCGGCAACGGAGGCAAGAACGGAGACAACTGCAACTATGATGGCTATGCCAACTCAATGTATACAGTAACAATTGGTTAGTTTCCTGGCTTGTTGCTTTGTGTATTAGTTAATTGGTACTTGGTAGGAAGACCTTGGCACATTATACATTGTTTGTAGAAGTGCATTGTGAAATGCTAAGTTATTTCATATTTAATTTTTTTTTCTTCTTCGTAATAGGCCAAGGGGACTATGGCAGGCTATTCATGCCACTGTTTGCTCTCACCATTTACTGGCATTGGTCTCTCAAGGGACGTGCAAATCATGGTCACAAATCTACAGAATTTACATTTTTTGATAATTCATTATTGAAGGAAAAAATATTATCTAAAGATCATAGTGGGAAGAGCGAACAGTGGCATGAACGGCCTGCCATAGCTAAGTCGAACTGAAAGTCAATCTTAGTCTTAGTGTATTTTCACAATGAATCGCTTATGAATTAGGTGTGTTTGGTATTTCTTTTGTTTCCAACATTTCTTTACATTAGGCCTAATAAATGTAAACTATGTACATGTATTCCGATAATGCTAATATTGAGAAGGTCTCCTATTTTGTGTGATATAGGGTCAGTAAACATGTTGACCTGGATGAAAATGTGGAGTTTGTTATACTATACACCACTGTGTAACTGACAGAACAAGGTATCACATGTTATGGGTGGGGAGAAACACAGAGGTAAAAGAGCATGTATTGAATGATAGTAGACTGGGGTATTTAATATTCCTGTACATACATTTATGTGAAGTTATATACATGTATCACTTTGAAGTACAGTCAAACCTCTATTTGTGGCCACCTCTCTATTTATAGAGGGCACTTGTTTGTAGAAGTGACAAATTCTGTGTCTGGAAGGACACCTGTTTATAGTGGCCACTGTTTCCCTTACATGGCCTCTATAGACAATTGTGTGTTGAAGAACCTGTCTAGAAAGGCCACTTGTCTACAGTGACCACTTTTTCTGTTTTGCTTAATACATGGCCTGAATAGACAAGTTTCATTATTCTACATGCCGGCAATGTATGAACAAACACTCAAAGATCACTGTTATTTTGTTCTGATTGTAGGTGCTGTAGATGAGAAGGGTCAGATGCCCTTTTATGCTGAGGAGTGCTCCTCTCTGTTTGCTGTCACCTTCAGCAGTGGATCACGTCCTCAAAGAAACATTGTAAGTAGGGTTCAACCCCGAGGGCTTGCTAGGTCAGACCTGTACCTAGACTTATTCTTGCTCTAAGATTATTACATTTTATACCTCTTGTATTAAAGGGATAGTTGAGTTCTATTTGCAGGCCGCAAATGCCTTCAATGTGCATGCTTTTTGCTCTTATTCTTATCTATGACATTTCTAGTGCCCTTTTGGGACCTAACATTGCCATGAAGGTAATTTTAGACCCCAAAATGTGTAAAATTCAGCCAATACTATCATACCAATTCAGCTCCACTTTAAAAAAAATATGGTGACCGTCAATGAATGAATTAATAATAACAATACATGGGCCGGCTGGTTGTGCGTAATACAACTAACACGACACAGCCAACAAAAAATCCAACATCGGCATTGGCTGAAATACATCGTAAAAGGTGCAATTTCATTTTTTCAACAGCTTTTTCAAATTATCAAATATTTGTGGTGGTACACAAATATTAGAAATCGTTATATTTATGGTTATTTCAGCCGTTTTTTAACCGATTTTGATCAAACAAAGATCATTTGTCATTTAAATTGTATGTTCCTCTCAAATTTGACACTCAGTTTTTCATTATCTCACAAAAAAATTATTTGTTGTAGCACCCTCTGCAACAGAACTCAACTATCCCTTTAAGAGCAAGTCCCTTATTTTCACATTTTTGACCTTCAGTTAAATGGGACTAAAATATACCACTTGTTGAGATACATCCCTAAAATTTAATGAACTCTCCCATTTATGTTATCAGGCTCTCCACCGATTGGATATTAGGTCCTAGGATGGGCTGTACCAATAGCTATAAGGGGGAAAAAGTGTTGTTGCCACTCATACTGTAAAAATTTACATTTTATGCAACCAGTATAACACTCCCCTAATATTGAATAAACTATCCCATATTTGTTATGAAGCTCACGGCTGATTTCACATTAGGCTCTATGATGGGCTGTACCAACAGTTGCGTAGGGGCATGTCAGTAGAATCAGTCTTCTTAAAGAGAAGGTCGAGTTCTGAGAAAGGGTGAAAAATAATTTGTGAGCGTTATCATTCTTATTATGCAAGTGTGGAAGAACATCAGATAAGACATGTTTCCTGTAAAGCATGGCTCTTCAAATGCCTTTATATTCTAAATATGTCATGTAACATCGTAAAACTTGGGGGTAGGATTTTTACGCCACATGTTCGGGTAGTCTTTCTGTGTACAGTGTTTGTAACTTGGTAAAATTTCTTATCATTTTGATGATTCCCGAACCTTGCAATACACACAAATTCTTATATGCTAGAGGATCAACCTTTTCTGGTCGATTCCACACCGTTTCTTTCACAATGCAATCGCATGACCAGAACTCAACTTCATCTTTAAACATTTTGACACTTTATACCACTAGATAAAACACACCCCTAAATTGAATGAACTCTCCTGTCCTTATTCTCCAGCTCACCACTGATTGGACATTGGGCCCTGGAACGGGCTGTACCAATACGCATACAGGGACATCAGCTGCGGCCCCCCTCGCTGCAGGCATGATCAGTCTAATGTTAGAAGCTAAACCTTGTCTTTCATGGAGGGATGTCCAACACATCATAGTTTACTCAGCCTTGAAGGTAAGTCCAGTCAAGATGTTATTATTATTTTATTATTATCATTTATGATTATTTATTATCATTATCATTTATTATTATTTTATTTTCAATTCTCATCAAAAATACATTCAACACTACATTATACATATAAACAAATAAATAAACAATACAAAGAATATGGAGGAGCCAGCAGAGGCCATTGGCCTTTCAAAGGCTGGGCTCCAATGGTCGCAAATACTTATACAGAGTATAGAAAAAAGAAAGAGTGGGTAGTACATAAACAAGTGTGTACGACTAATTAAACATAAGATAGAAGTTATGGTTTGCATATACAAATGATAATAAATACATCATTTGTTATGCGCCGTGGATCTAGTAAACTATTCCGAGGTGCAGAGGGATAGAATTAGAATGAGTTACATAGAGAAATGAGAACAAATATGCATTAGTAGATGTATATTCAACATGTGAATACCTAAAATACCATACGAACGTGTACCGGTACATGTATGACTTAAATTTTTTTTTTTTTTTAAATATATATACTCCATCTGTACATGAATAAGTGTTTACAAAGTACATGTGGATAGATATCACCTTGACTTGAAACATGTACTAAAGGAACCTGTTTACAAAGACCACTTGTTGCGTTTCCCGTGGGGCGGTCGCTATAGACATGTTTGACTGTATATGGATTTCTCTCATTGATATCTTCAACACTTAGATTGACCAGAAGAAAGGAGAATGGACGGTGAACGCTGCTGGCTTCCATCACAGCCACAAGCATGGCTTTGGGGTTCTCAAGGCGTGGCGACTGGTCAACGCTGCTAAGGTGTGGCCTTCCGTCCCTTGGTTGACCTCTGTGGTGTCGCCGACCCTCAAGGTCCATAGGGGAATCCCCACTTCGCAGGCCGGAAGCCAACTCATGGTCGAGTATGAAGGTGAGATGGAACTCAAAATCTATCTATCTGTAATTCACTATCTATCTATCTGTAATTGATCTATCTACACACGGTATCTATCTATTTTTCTTTTTATATCTTTCTATCTATCTATCTATCTATATATCCATTTATCTATCTATCTATCTTTCTATCTTTCTATCTATCTTTCTTTCTATCTATCAATTTATCTATCTATCTATCTTTCTCTCTATATATCTATCTATCTATATATTCATTTATCTATCTTTCTATCTGTCTATCTATCTATCCATTTATCTATCTTTCTATCTGTCTATCTATCTATCCATTTATCTATCTTTCTATCTGTCTATCTATCTATCAATTTATCTATCTTTCTATCTATCTATCTATCTATTCATTTATCTATCTATATATCTTTCTATCTATCTATCTATCTATCCATTTATCTATCTTTCTATCTGTCTATCTATCTATCCATGTATCTATCTTTCTATCTGTCTATCTATCTATCCATTTATCTATCTTTATATCTGTCTATCTATCTATTCATTTATCTATCTTTCTATCTATCTATCTATCTATCCATTTATCTATCTTTCTATCTGTCTATCTATCTATCCATTTATCTATCTTTCTATCTGTCTATCTATCTATCCATTTATCTATCTTTCTATCTGTCTATCTATCTATCCATTTATCTATCTTTCTATCTGTCTATCTAATTATTCATTTATCTATCTTTCTATCTATCTATCTATCTATCCATTTATCTATCTTTCTATCTATCTATCTATCTATCCATTTATCTATCTTTCTATCTATCTATCTATCTATCCATTTATCTATCTTTCTATCTATCTATCTAGGTATCCACATATCTATCTATCTATCCATCCACTTATCTATCTTTCTATCTATCTATTTCCCATAGCTTGGAGGCAGTTTGGGTGACAATGAAATAGACCTTTAGACACAGGTTCTTCATGACTTTCTGTCATCAACTGTTCTAGCCTGTTTCATTATAGATCAAAACTCTGTGAATACTGGCATGAAATATAAAGCCTTTACAAACACTTGCTAATACATTTAAATGCTGATGCTACAATTTAGAGTGCTATTTGTTATTAACTTCCACTATCCACTTTCTCTCTCTGTTTGATTTCAGTGACTAACTCCACAGCGCGAGTCAACGAGCTCTCAACACTAGAACATGTACTTATCACCGTCTCCCTAGCCCACACCATGAGGGGCAAACTCAAGATAGAACTCATCTGTCCTAGCGGCACCAGGTCTGTCATAGGGGCTAGGAGAAAGAAAGACAAGTAAGTTATACCCCTCCCCTCTCACTCCCACTCCCCCCTCCCAACACCCCCTCCCCCCCCAACTCCCCCCTCCCAACACCCCCTCCCCCCCCCAACTCTCCCCTCCCAACACACCCAAAGACTTTCCTTTAGTCATTTTATATAGGAGTTAAACGGAAGTCACTTTGAACCAGAGCTCAGCCAGTTTTGTGTAATGTATAATTGTGCTTGACAGCATTTATATGGCACCAGACTTCTTTTTTTTAACCCACCGCAAGCCCCTCCAATGAAGTCAGTATTTCACATTCGCCCAAAAAGTTGTTTTGATACATGATCATAAGTGTTCTAGACTTACAGAGTATCTTATAAAGAATAAGCCCATCAAGTTTCATACCTATATCTCAAATAGATTTTGAATTATTGCTAACTGACTAATAGTCACTATTCACATATCCACGAATTGACAATTATGCATTGTGTACAATAAATATGGGAACATTTTTGACACCGCGCAGTATCTGTAGAAATTATTTATCAGGGTGAACCTCCCCTTTAAATAAAAAGTATACACCATCACTTTCTACAATATTTTGCTTCTACAGTATTTTATTGCCTTCTGAGAACTAGGATGGCTCTCAACGCCTTTAGCCATAATCATTATTATTGTGCTTTTCGTCTTTTCCTTACAGTTCTAGAGATGGTCTCAAAAACTGGACCTTCTCAACCGTACGTTGCTGGGGAGAGGATCCTGTAGGCGTCTGGCAACTCATTATTACAGACTTCAGTAAGTCCCTACGTTGTTATAATCAATTATGAGACCCTACAGGTTGTACAGTTAAAAACTGGATTGTTCATACCCCTTGGAAATTTGATGTTTTTTGTGTTGTTTGTAACTCAGGAATGAAAGGTAGACTGGTTGAATTAGGACCTATGTTGAATGCTTTTAAGATGTAAGCTTCGATATGTCGCATTCTCAAGAAACAATTTTTTTTGTCATAGAGGACTTAGTAAGGGTATGACTAATTAAGTTTGTATATAACATGCATTTTTAAGAGATGCTAATACATTAACATGGGAAACATGAAATACGGAACAGTATGAATAACATTGAAAACATACTGAAATACAACTTTACATACACAGGGGCAGAACATTTATTTGTTTTTCAAAAACTTCTTGAATGTTGTTTTGCCATGCTTTATCTCAAGAGGGCGGCAACTCGAAAAGCACCATCACCTAGCTGTTGGTGGTGTTGTAACTTACAAGATGATTCATTCAAATTAATATCTGTGTAACCTCTTTTCCTGCCAGGTACTGGTGGTGGTGGTGTTCTAGAGGAGTGGACGCTAGCTGTCTATGGCTCTAACATGAAACCACAGGATGTAGAACAGAGAAAAGCGTAAATATTACCCGCATCTCCTAAATATTCATTAGTGATTGTTGTTGTAACAGTTAGACTTTATACATGTACATGTACTTTGTTTTTATAAAACACAAGTTAACATTATGTTGTGTGATGCTGACAGAGAGAAAGAGAGAGATAGAGAGAGAGAGAGAGAGAGAGATAGAGAGGGAGAGAGGGAGAGAGAGAGAGAGAGAGAGGAGATATATTAGTAAGATACTGTCATTACCCTTCTGGTGGTGGTGGTGGTGGTGGTGGTGGTGGTGGTGGTGGTGGTGGTGGTGGTGGTGGTGGTGGTGGTGGTGATGGTGATGATGATGATGATGATTGATGATGATGATGATGATGATGATGATGGTTGATGATGACGACGACGACGACAACGACGATGGTGGTAATCATGATGACTCTTTTATTTCACATCAATGTCACTAAGACCTGTATTTCTTGTTTTAACCGACAGGGTGGTAGCGGAGTCTTACGGTGGTGAATTCTTGGATACCAACCTCACAGAGCCATGCTCTTTCTATTGGGCTGCAACTATAGAGGAAGAAACATACCTTTCCATGAAAACCATCAAGGTGAGAAATCATTTCTTTGAATCATTTGGAAATCTCAAAAAGGACTATGGAAAAAGGAAAAGAAGAAATCTCTAGCAAGTCTAAGATGGCGGTTGAGAACAACAAAGTCATTTTCTTCTCTGGTTGATTCCCTTGACAAAAATGGGAGATGATCGGGGGGGAGGTGGGGGGGGGGGTGTTTATTGGAGATTTTCAGAATAAACCTTGAAGTTGGTTAGTGGTTCTCTTTTAATTTTTTAAAAACAGCTACATACTTATGTAAATAAAACAGGATGATTCCTTGCACCAGTGCATAACATGTGAGAGATATTTATTCATTCATTCATTTATTCAATTCATTTATTCGCTCAATATAAAAACAGATATATAAAATTGCGTATAAACGCATACATGTATAACAAATATAAAATGATGGACATAGTAAAATCAGTAGTTGACAGCCCAAGTAACATAAATTGAGGGGGATCAGATTCATGATCTATTTAAAGATCTTGTGAATTCGACCCCATTGTGATGTATAAATTGCATTTTATACTGTTGCATGTACAACAACAATAGGGGTCGATGACCAAAGGGGAACCTTTGACCCATGTATTTTTAGAGATATCTCCCTGATTTCATCACCTCCCACTCCACTCAAAGGGAGAGATCATATAATGAAGTCATTAGTATGCGTCATCAACTCTTGGTCTCTTCTTCTCTTCTTCTCTTTCACAGTTCTTGCTGTTGATTAGCGCCTTTGCCACGGTACTGGCCCTCTACTACTCCTTGGAGCAGGCCTTCTGCACGGACGAGGAGAAGCGAAACCATGCCACCAAGCTGGGCCTGGAGAAACCCTCGGGAGGGCACCCAGGGGAGAACCAGGAACTCCTAGAAGAGCAGAACATTCCAATGGAGGATTTAACCTGCGACCTGACCTCGGTTGACCTGCAGGAAGTGACCGCCGACACGGGTCAAGGGTTGGCGGTGGATGCGATGTACACATGTAGAGTGCCTGTGGTGTGTATAGAGAGGGATGAGGAGGACTTTGGTGAGGAGCTTGGAAGGTCGAGGGTCACCGGGGAGGGGTACTTAACTAATGTGCAATCAGGAGTGTGTTCAGACAGTAAAAACTTATTAACTGATCCTGCAAGAAATGAATGCGTTAGTGTTCAGCCGGCGGGAACTTATATACAAAGGACAGGCATAGATTCGCTACCTTACACTCCGCCTCATAAGAGTGTAGAGACTTCAGACTTTCCGCATTGTTCTGCTTCACAAAAGAACGTTTCGCTAGAAATCCAAGCAGCTGCGTCCCAGTTGGCCAGGCTGGATGAAGTGCCTGTGAATCGACCAATCACGTCTCACGATACAGATGTCCAGCCACTCATTCAAACCACATGTACAGAACAATCAACTCTATTGGTCAATTCCATCGAAGCATCTTCCATTCAGCCAACCAAATTGCCAGAAACATTGCATTCAAACTTTGACGTAGAATCAGGGAATGAGATTACAGCGCCCTCAATGTTTACTAGTGATTCAACTGACTCCGCACCTCACCATACACTCTCTTCCGAAAAATTTGTAGACCTTGAAGATGTTCCGCTTGTTCATTTAGCCGACGGCATCAAAGAGCTAGCAAATACAAAGGAGCTTCTCAATGAGCGTGCAATTGTGTTAGATAAATCCCAAGGATATCCATTAGAATGGGACGTTCTTACGAGCTCCGCCCTGGACGATTGGACCACACCCACTTTTGATGCATTCCAACCCGTTTCCACGGATACAGCAACGAACGAAGGTGATGAAATCGTTTCCGGCGTCCAAGGAGTTGATGTCCGATGTCAAACGCCTCCGTTTTTGTCCCATTGACGAGGAATGTGAAGTTTCTCAGTGCCATTCTGCATGGTGAGTCAGCGCGTCTTCAAGGGGCCTGGAAAGTAACCGTACTTACTACCCGTAATAGACGAGGAATTCAGTCTGTTTCTACGGAAGCGCCTTGAATCCATCTATTCATGCAGAAAACATAATCTACCCGCGCACACTAGATGTCTGCAAAGTGATCGGTTACCGCGTGCAGTGATGCAGTGTGTCAATGTGACCTTAAACGCCAACGTTGACGGAAACGTTCTATTCTATTAATGGTGTAAAATAAAGTGTTAATTTATGCCCTTTGCCAATATAGCCTCGGTCAGATATGGGGCTGTAAAATACCTTGAGAAAGTGACACCGTACAGTGCAGAAACATAACCATTGTACACCTATGTGAATTGCAGTCGAGGGCGGAATAGCCACGTGCAACATCCCTGAAGTGTACTTATCTGTGTGTTAGGAGCGATAGAAATTGTTTCTCCGGCTCTCATTGAGGCTATTTAACATGTCATATGTTTACAAGGCTAACACGTGTCATTTTAAACTTTTGACCATCCCAGCTGTGTACACTCCCATCTCATTTTTGCAACATTTTTTTAAAGCTTCAAAAACGTTCTTGCCTTATTTGTGATTGGTAGGTTTGATCTGAAAATCATTTTACCTTAAATTATTGCGATGTTTTCTACCTTTTATCGTTGTGGATTAATCTGAAAGTGCTGCTTTCTTTGTTTCTGTGTGTTCCATTTATGCTTCAATGTCTTAGTGATTTCATACGATAATGCTACTTTTTTTGAGTCTGTCGGTGCCAACCCTTTACGTAAATAAGTGAACCACATGTTAGGCATTTTTTTTAATCAGTGCTTTTATAATATTGTTGCTTTTTTTAAATGAGAAAGAGCTTCCTATACCCCGCCCCCCCCCAAAAAAAAGATATAAATAAATAATAAAAATATAAATAGATTGTAGGGCTCCTCACCAACTTCTTGACATACATAGAAAGCCAAGCTCTTTTTATAAGAAGTTTTACATGTAAGTGATCCATCATTCCAAGGAGTTATTACACAAAAAAACTGCTCTTAACTGCTCTCACGTTTTTCGAAGGCAACTTTTTTATTTACAAATTTTAAAAAAAAAAAAAAAATCCTTGTGATGGTAGTGCAAGCCAGGTTTAATCTTGCATTTTTAAATTTTTTTTGTATTAATTTCAGAACAGTGGATAATGTATTTTATATTATATTTATGTATTTTATATTATCGCTTGATATCAAAATGTTAAAATGCTGTAGTAGATTTGAGTAAATGTAATGCAATTTAGAAGTATGTAATTTAAATCCATTTTCCTTTTTATTCTGATGCAAAGTCATTTTAGGAAGTGGGATTCTATAATAAGTATTTTTTTAAAACAAATCAAACTGGCATAATTTCTCATATTTATTAGCCAAGTTTTTAGTCTTTAATTTTTGGATTAAACTGAACCCAGTTTTTGTTAAAGTCGATTATGAATTTGGTTTGAATAAGTATGATAAGAAAAAAAAAGATTTAAAAATATTTGCTCAATATTATGTAGGTCTGTATTTGGTGATCTGTGCAAGAAAATGAAATATGTCAAGCTGAAGTTGTTTAATTTATAAAGCAGCTTACAATAGTTTAAATCCTAGGTCTGGTAAAAACCTGTATTAATGGGAACATCATGAAATAGTCACAGCTTTCTCTATGGCAAGAAGTTATATGAGGGGTTTCAAGTTTGCAATTCAGGGCTGATTCAATGCAAAACCATGACAACGGTGTACTCAAACATGAAAAAGTACAATCATGATTGAAATTACATGTGTTTTTATCATTTGAGTTTCTTTGTTATGGGAATACGATGAAAAGAGCTCTTTCTCTGGCAAGAAGTTATATGAGGGGTTTCAGGTTTGCAATTCAGGGCTGATTCAATGCAAAACCATGACAACAGTGTACTAGAACATGAAAAAGTACAATCATGATAGAAATTACATGTGTTTTTATCATTTGAGTTTCTCTGTTATTGGAATACGATGCTCTTTCTCTGGCAAGAAGTTAATTGAGGGGTTAAAGGTTTGCAATTCAGGGCTGATTCAATGCAAAACCATGACAACAGTGTACTCGGAACAAGAAAAATACAATCATGATTTAAATTACATGTGTTTTTATCATTTGAGTTTCTTTGTTATTGGAATACTATGGAAAAGCTTTTTCTCTGGCAAGAAGTTCTTGAGGGGTTTCAGGTTTGCAATTTAGAGCTGATTCAATGCAAAACCATGACAACAATTTACTAGAACATGAAAAAGTACAATCATGATTGAAATCACATTTGTTGTTATCATTTGAGTTGCTTTGTTATTGGAATACGATGGAAAAAGCTCTTTCTCTGGCAAGAAGTTATTTTAGGGTTTACAAGTTTGCAATTGAGGGCTGATTCAATGCAAAACCATGGAAACAGTGTACTAGAACATGAAACATACGATCATGATAGAAATTACATGTGTTTTTATCACTTGAGTTTCTTTGTTATTTTTATAGAAGATAAGTTATTTCATGTGATATATTGATGATTTTATGATTCTAAAATGAACTTGCCAAGCATAAAAGCTGTTTTATTAGGTGGAGGTGAATGAACTTTCCGTCTAATGATAGTTCATTGCTATTCATTTATGAAGGTTAGGTCCAAGATGTTGGATCAACTGATGTCCCATACACTCCCAAGTATTACAGTATTATCAACACAAATTGATGCCAAAAATACAATTTGCTTGATATTTGGCCTGCTGAGCTCCCAAGCCCTAGGTGTTTCACTGGTCAATGGCCTCCTAATCGGGAGGTCCTGGGTTCAAAACCAAGTTGATGTGCTTAGTGCCCTTTGATAAGAAATTGATCCTCATTAACAAGTTCCTTGGATAGGACTTCAAACTGTAGGTCCCCCTGTTGCTTATTTACACACATATACATGCCCAAGAAAAAGGAGAGACAGAGAGTTAATCTTTTCTTCGTTAGGAAACGATTAGATGCAGGTCAGATCACACTGAGAATGATAACAATAATGAGAGTTTTAATTGCAGGTACATTGTCCACCCTATAGTGCCCCTGCTATTAACGTACAAGGAAAAAACACGTACATGACACAATAGGGTGGTCCGGACCTTTAACTAAAAATGTACTATTTGACATCCATGACATCTTACCAGTATTTTATATTCAGAAAATAATTAAACAATTGATGTTCTTGCCATTTCTTCCAATTAGTTGTCGAAATATCTGGTTTATTCAGGAGGGTTAGATTAAATGATGTGTTAGTCTCCACTTGTTAAATGAAATATACTGCCCCAAAATTCTTTTTGATATGACATTTAGAGAAAAAAAAAAATCAATTTCTTAATTTTTGCTCTCTTTTTCTTCCTGCCCGTCTCTGTTGCGTACTTTTGCAGGAGAAATTTTATGTAGAAATGCATTTTCAATTTTTTTTTAATTTAGTAGATTACTATAAATATTAGTTGTTTGAACTTGTTAGATAGATATGAACATGATGCTAGATATCAAGAGTTCATTATTATGTAATAGTTGTCAGAGGAAAGGTGGAAAACATTAGTTTTCTGTGTGTTTCTCACTAGATAGCAAGTCTAGCTTGTAGTACTTTTGTAAATTTTTATTTTCAATTCATTCCTTGTCTAAAAAATCTCTCCCCACTGATAAAAGTGAAAAGCCCTGATCATTTCTGCAAATATTTCGCATATGCACTGTATTAAAGCAATTTTACTTTTTCACTGTTGATATTAGGGGGGCAGTACGACACTAATCATGAGCCGTAATGATGTTGTATTCCCCTATGTGCCCTGTTCATGTATGCATCAACAATGGGAGATATTCATTCAGATTTGGAAGTGCCGCCTTGCATTGTGGTTATGCAATGTGCATTGTGGCCGAGGGTCAAGGGTCAGACCCTTAACTCAATGCTAAGTATGACTTTGCAAGCCATAAATGTTACGGTTAACTTTTCAAATACCGTTCTGCTAAGTATTGGTAGTAATACCACATTCTTCTAAACTAAAAAGCCGCCAAATTGCCTTAAAACAACAGGAAGCATGATGCCGCATTTTCTTTGTTAATTTGTTCATGCAGTATCTCCTGCTATCGAAAGCACATCTGTAGAACAACATCAACACGTTGGGCTATTTTGTTTCTCAGTGTCAAATGTAAACAGGACATATTAATATTATAATGCAGCAGAAATGAAACAAAATTCAATCTTTTTTTCTTTGTTGTTTCTTTATTTCATGCTCATCACATTATTGAAGGCTTGCATGCATATTTAGTTAATGTGGTAGATCTATTTTGATCTCTGTTTTTTCGTCTCAAAATATCATCTGTTGAAGGCTAGAAGGACATTAACTCTGTGTTCAAATATACAGGTCACTGCACTCTGTCTCCAGGCCAATGATATCTCCCTTAATTGCAAGCCTCCTTTTCTTTCTGTGTGTGCCATTTTATAACCTAAATGATACCAAACAAATAAACTTGTGCCTCTAACTTTTAATGTATTACGATTAATTTTTGCTGCTGTTAAACTGTTGCTGCTGCTGCTCTTGAAATGCTGTTGTAGGTTTCAAGGAGTGGCTTTATAGTTTAAATGTGTTACTTTACATTAACATGTACATGTATTAACTAGACTATAAAGCTCCATTGAAAGGCAACCCAACCTTTGTAATAAGCTTATATGTTTGAAAGCAGAAAACTAAGAGAAACAAAATGGAAGTTTTTATATAAATCGGACCAATAATAAGAAAGTTATGAATTTTTGAAATATGAGATCACTAAGTCAATCACTCTGATTGGCAGTTTGGTCATTGGATTAGCTAGTTGCAGGAAAGTATTCCATTTGATGTATACAACAATATCATTAATTTCTGGTTTTCTCTTAAGTGCCTTCTCCCCTGGGGCACTACTACTCGAACTATATTATGGGTAGCATATTATTATAGGTCCACAAAACAGAGAAAGGTTTCTCCTGATTCATACATTGTGAAGCAAGTTCACTTTAGTCATTTTGTGTCTTAGAACAAACGCGAAAGTTGTCCGCCAGTACATCACACACGCATAAACCATTCAGACAATTTGAAGAGCCCATACCTATAGTGATTTCAACTTTTAATCATTCATAACTTTCTTACTTTTTGTCTGATTTCATTCAAACTTTTACAAGTCTGCTCCTCTGACTTTTCTCCTTTCTTTTAGAGTAGTTTGCTATCAAGGTTGGATTTCCCTTTAACAATAAGTAATGTGATACACAGTATTGTCAAGCAATGTTGGAGCAGTGATATTCTATCTGGAGTTTGTTGTGGTGCCAAATACTGATTACTAATCATACACATAACAGTATTGGTCTTTTTCATTCATTCATTCATTCATTTTCAAATACCCTAATGGTTATCGGATTAGGAATGCTGTAGTTTGGTTTAGGGGATTTTGGGACTTTTCTAAAATGTTTTCTTTCTTCATGGCAGACTTAGTATATTGGTAGTGTATATTTGATATGATATATATGTTGGGAGCCAGGCCCCTGTTTCATAAAACTTGATATCAGTAACAAGTTACAAGCTACTGTTATAAGCTACTGAAATCTTGGCATGTGATTGGCTGAGAGCAAATTTATCATAGATATTTAGCATTTGTTATAGATGAAAAGTTTTATGAAACAGGCCCCATGTCAACTGTAACTGAATGATATTTCCAGAGATTTTTAATTTTGAGAAAAGAATAATATAGACATTTTAATAGATATCTAAAAATTGATGATTTAGTGTACAAACCAAGCTACATTCACAACTGTTGAATGTCTCATTCACCATTCTTCAAACTTATATTATGAAATATGGAATTTTATGTACGTTTATTACAGATTAGGTAACTTTTGTTGACATTCTGTAACAAAGCTATGTAAAGTGATTCAGTAACATTGTTGGAGGTTGTTGAAAAAACTGTGTAATTTTGTGTGAAATGTTAGCTACTGTATTCCTTCCACCGAATGAACCCTCTAACATATAAGAAAAAGTTCTCAAACCACAAAGATATTTATGGTTTTCTTTGAAGGCGTCACTGTGCGACACTGTGCGACACCCTCTAACATTTAATTCTCCCAACCAATATTTAAACTGTTCCTACCGTTTTTCCATGAAAATAAGACTGAAAAACAGGCTTTAAAAAAAAAATCTGTCAACACTTTAATGTGTGGAATGGTATACAGAGCCAATTCATTGCTTTGTGACAATATACACTCACCTAAAATGTAATTAAATTATAATAATATAGTTGTGTGAATTAAGGAATCGATCAGATCAGTTTTTTCCAACTTGTACCATGAATAATGATCCGTTTTCACTCCAATTTTCAGATTATCTTTAATTGTACATCTAGCATTGAAGTCACTACATTAGCATCAATTTCTCTCATCTGTACGATGTTACTAAGTCCCTTTAAAATTTAATGAATTGTTTATAGGAAATCATAAATCGGTGAGAGTACCTCATATTGGTTTATATATTATATAATTACTTTTTACATTTGTATTAGAATGTCTGTAATATTTTTTTCTTCTAAATTATCTGGAAATGTCATTATGTAACGCTTGGTATCGTGGTATATATGAACACACATGACAAATTCAGTTTTTACAGGACTGATTCTCATATCTCTGTATAACAATGTGATATTGCCTATCGCAATTATACTTATATTTAATACGTGGCATGTACGGACACACAACAAATTTGGTTACATCGCTATTTTTTATCTTGAGATGTACACATGATATAGCTCATTACAATCATACCAATATGGTACGACTAGCTCATGACTTGTTTTTAAAATGGGCTTAATGGTTTTAGTTTAGATAGGTCATCTATGTTATTTGGAATGTATTATTTTTAAACTTCCCCATGTCTATTGGTGTAGCAAAGATTTTTTTTACTAAACTTGGAAGGTGTACTGTAGATAATGCCTCTATTTATGTGGATTGTGTGAGGAAATCTCATGACAACGAATCTATGTCTTTGTCTTTTTTTTGTATGTACAAAATTCCTATGTATTTGACATTGAAATATGAAATAAAAATATGTTAAAAAATAGGTGTTAAGGTTTGCTTTGAGTGGTTGATTTCTGGAAATTGTTTCTTGTAGATTTGATCAATGTGAGGAGTGCATTGTGAAGTAGGGTGAGCAGGAGAAATGATGAGAAAATGAGAGAAGAGACAAAGAGAGAGAGAGACAGAGACAGAGAGACAGAGAGAGAGAGAGACAGAGACAGATAAGATAAACAGTTACAATAGATAGAGAGAGAGAGAGAGAGAGAGAGAGAGACTGAGATAGAGAGAGAAAAAGAGTCGGACAGAGAGGGGGAAAAGAACGAGAGATAGTGAGACTGAGATAGAGAAAAAAAGTCAGACAGAGAAAGAGACAGAGATAGAGAGAGAAAAAAAAGAACCAGACATAGAGAGAGAGAGAGAGAGGGAGAAGGAGAGATAGAGACGGAAGGAAAGAGAAGGAAAGAAAGAAATAGACATAAAGAGATATAATAGGGAGAAAGTGTGGGAGAGAGATGAGTGCCGGGGGGGGGGGGGGGACATGAAATAAGGAGAAATGGAAAACGTAAGGAGTTGAATCTCATTCGATCCATGTAATCTAACTTAAACTGGGGCGGGCATCCCCCCCCCCCCCCACACACACATCCTTCACCCACCGTCCCTCACTTACTACGTCACCTCACAGCACAATCATGGCCCCGAGGTAGCGCTAGCTAGTGTCGGGTGTCGATTCGGATACTCCGCATGCACTATATATATTTGGGTGCCCAATTATCGGGAAATTACTTGACCGCATTTCGAGCGAACTTTCGGAAAATGAGGTTAAGATATGCACGGCCAGAGGTCGACGCACTCTATGCCTCGCTCAGGACTGCTGGTATGGTGGGGAATGGTTGTTTTGCAGGTTAACACGTATACACAGGGGTGGAACCAGGATTGTGTAAACGAAGGGGGGGGGGGGGCACTATATTCTAAAAAAAAAAAAAAAAAATTGACAATAAAAAGACCATGACAAGCAGAAGATAAATAATGAAGATAAATAAGATTTTTTTTTTTTAATGAATAATAAAACGGTTATTGACAATTTTGGAGGCGGCTTTCTACTTATAATTTTCAGACAAAATAACCAACTAAATAACAAATGAATAAACAAACAAACAAACACACACAAAACATACACACATACACATTCAAAAGGGGAAGCACATGTCCGTTGTGAGTCCCCTAAATCCATCATTCTTATTAAGGAATGGAGATTTCTAACCTAACGAGGAGGAGGAGGAGAAAAAGATGAAGAAGAAGAAGAAAAAAGACGAGAAAGGGAAAGAGGAAAAGGAGGAGAAAAAGTTTAGAAGAAGGAGAAGAAAAAAGAAGAGAAGGAAAAGGAGGAGGAGGAAGAGGAGGAGGAGGAGAGGATGATAATAATAACAATAATAATAATAATAATAATAAGAATTTTAACAAATGGGAAGGAAAATACAATTATCGTCATGAGTAAGGTAGGAAACGAAGGAAGTCGTTGATGGTTTGGAGCATTATCTCGGTCACTGAGTTATAAGGCCTAAATATTTCAGCCTTGTCAATAAAACAATAATAATATATCTGTTTCTATATACTAGCAGGTGCGGAAGCAGTTAACCTGAATAGTAACTCTGAAGATGTGTCCCTTGAGCTAACTTTTAAAGAGACAGACCCCCTTAAAGGTAACACCTTTGACATTGACATTGCAAACTATTATTTCCTACTTTTAAGCAGATAACCAACATCACAGAGATGGATTATTTCTCAAAATTGTTTTAGAAATTAATAGATAATAAACAAATAAATGGATAGATTAAGAAATAAAAAACATAAATAACCAAACAAATGAATAAATGATTAAATGAATCAAGAAATAAATAATATAAAAAGATAGAAATGTACTGGTTGCATTTTCTTCTTTCCTTTTGCGAGGAAGAAACGTGATTGATTGATTCGAATTTATGTCATATATCAATTGTTTGCACAATAAAGAACATAGTTGACAAAGTAAGATCAAAATTATGAAATGAATCAGGAACCTACTGGAAAGCATAGCTTGTTTTTGTGTAGGTTCTCAAGAATAAAAATAATATGAACATTATTTTTATAAATCATTTTAAAGTGTCTTAATAATCACAGTAAAATAGATATGATATAATAACATATTTTCATAAACTCTTTTAAAGTGTCTAAATAATCGAAATATACAAAAAGAGCAGAATTACAAAACGGGACACAAAGGACAGGAAACTGACATAATTAGATAAGATAAGTTCACGAAACCGACATTTTCGATCTCACGGGCCTTCTGTCAACATGGCCGACAGTCCAATAGACCGACAGCCGACTAAACTGACAGGTCCGTGGGCCTTTCAGTCACATTTCAGAGGGTTCATTTGACCGACGGCTCACGAGACCGGCAGCCTGATTA